CCCCAAAACCCCAAAACCCCAAAACCCCAAAACCCCTTCTATTCATTGAGTTAATGAAAACTCTAAAAACTTACTAATATATTTAGAATAAAAATGAAGTCAGATAAAGCTCACAAGGACTACCTTGAAGCGCTAGTTGTAAGCCTTTATCTTACCCATATAGACACCAGTAAGAAAACAGAGACAATGCCCACTCTCCCAGGAGAAGACTCTCAAATTCATACCCAGTAGTTTCAAAGAAAACAAAAAGGCAATGGTAAACACAAAGAAGGAGCCCTCCACTGAGTCCAAGTTGAAATAAGAGGAACACTATCAACTCCACATCTATCGAGATTCTCAAGATAGGTAAGATAAGGGCTATATCTCTTGCTTCACAGGGCCAAAGAGTGCTTGTCAGGCCTTCCAACCACGGGTTTTCATCCATAGGAGATTATCTAATTTATTCACTAGGAATAAATACCCAAATACTCTTTATGACTATGAACTTTAGAAATACCTCAAGAAGACCATAGTTTATTAGAGCAGAGGATTCAGAAGATTGAGAGTATTCATCAAGAACATATAACTCAAGTGAAAGGACAATTTCAGGGAAGAATAAAAGATTTAGAAGCTGAATTATCTGCAATTAAAAATAATGTCTTGGAAAATGAGGAAATTCCGGCCAATTATCTTGAGGAGCAACAAAATGCCCAGTTACCTTTATCTGACTCAGTTCTTGAGCTGCTTAATTCATCCCGTAGTGTTGATAAGAATGAGCAGGAGGTGCATCAGAAGGTTGTTCAAGAGCTTGAGAAACAGCTGAATAAAATGCGAGAAGAATACTTCAAAGAGACCCAAAATATCAAAGATCAATGTCAGAAAGAATTAGACGACCAGAAGGAAAAATATGAGGCACATTTACAAGAAATCAAACAGTGGCACCAACTGGAGAAGACTAACCTTGAAGATCGAATCCAGAGACTTCAGGATGCTGACTCAAGTTGTGCAGGGGATTCCTACATTTCGACCACTAGCAAGGAGATGAGTGTGTTCCACTTGACAGACCAAATAATGTCCCTAAATAATAAATATTCTGACTTGAAGATCTCCTCAAGCCAAGAGATAGGATGCTTGCAGAACAAAATTGATAACTTACTCGAAGAACTTACTAAGAAAAAGGAAGAAAATGATACTATGAGGGAAAGACTTAAGAAGAGTGAATGCAAATATCGCGATACCAACGAGACTCTTGCAATTAAGATCAAGAAGTTCGAGAGAATAGTCAAGACCAAGGACATCGACTCAAAGGTAGTCCAAGATCTCCAAGGCCAAGTCAGCAGTCTTAAAAGAGATATGTCCAGATGTGAACAAACTGAGAAAAAGTTAAAGGAAGCTATCAAGAAGAAAAAGGAGGAACTAATGCGGGAAAAGAAGCTAAGGAAAGCTGAAAGCAAGGTAGATATTAACATGCAGCTGAGAAAACAAGAGCTCATGAATAAGTTAGAGAAAGAAAACCGAAAGATTAAGGCTGAAAATATGAAGCTGCAGGAGGAGAACAACAAACTCAAAAATAGGCTTTCAGAATTTATTTTTCCTAAAGATGGAGACCAGGAAGCGTTTCAGACTCTTCAAAATACAAATAATATGAATAATTCCTTCCAAATATCTGAAAATAAATGCAGATCTCCTACCCCAAGTGATAAGGAGGGATTCTCAAAGCGTAAGCTTAGTCATCAAAGTGCCTGTAAAGCTGATAAGACTTTTGATGATCGAGGTACCTCATCAAGGCAGTTTATTGGAATTTATGAAAATACTATTAACAATACATGGGTGTTCCCAAAAAGTAAATATACAACTCAAACTCCAAATAAATCGCCTGATGTATTTGGTGGTAAAAGGAGATTCTGCTCTCCTATAAAAACCCAGAGAAATGTTGGAAGCTCAAACAAGTACTGTGAGACTTGCAGAGATGATGACTCCAAGCCTAAGAAATGATCATATGATCCTCTTTCCCTGATGAACAATCGAGATATTATTAAATAATATAGAATGCTTTGCCTGTGAGAAGATCTATGACCCTCAACACTTTATAAATCACTCAAAGAATTGCAGGTTATTATATGGAATCTGTCCTGTAAATAGCAAGGAAATAATCTGATTTAAAAATTCCACTTGCTCATGAGAAAATTGAGAAATTTCCATATCCTCCTCAAATAAAGATGTTTGTACTAAAAAGAACAGAGAATGCTCGCAAGAGGCTGACCTGCAGCCTAGCACCGACAGTGACCTCCTTCTCCCACCTAATCCCATCTACCCCCGCTCTTCCACCCTAAACAACACTTGTTCAGATCCTAGTGCCTCGCTGCTGACCGCTCCCGTTCAAGATTCCTCCAAAAGAGTTCTCCAGAGTACAAAGCCATCTAAGCAAAATCCCAGTCGTCAAATCTCAGAGAAGGCAAGACACAACTTGTTCTATGACCGTCAATCCAAACGCCACATAAACCCGCATCTATTCCTAAACACCATCAATGCCTTTGATAAGATAGAGGGTGTCCTAGCTGAGAACAAGAGAAAGATGAAGAAAGAGCAAAGAAGGTCATTCTTGTATAAGTCGAATACAAGTTGTAAGAGCAAGATGATCTCATATTAAATACCTATCAACAGGACTGACGTATGACTATCCATGCTGAAATCAGCTAATTTTTTTAGAAAATTTCTAATTTTATCTATCTGCTTCAAACCTTTTATGTCTTTGAATGTCCTCATGAGATAATCTAGTTGTTATCCACAAATTTTGATGCCCAGCTTTGATCACTCAGCGTGGATGCCAGGATGGCTTTTTTGGATATTTAGTAAGAACAAGTTCGAAACTAAAAAATCTGCCAATTAGATCCTTATAATTAGGAACTTTCCTGTTAGCAATTAAGTAAAATTTAACCAAGTATTTATACCAATTTTGGAAATTAATAAAGGGGTTTTGGGGTTTTGGGGTTTTGGGGTTTTGGGG